AGCTGCAAAGCAAGACCCTCCCACCCCTTGGGCCTCATTAGCACCACTCATTGGATCTCTGCTGGGCGCCCTGTGGCAGAGGGACAGTTGCTGCAGGGGAAACTGAGGCAGGGAGCAGGGGTCAGGGGACCCCAGCAAGGTGACTGTCCAGTCTCTTGAAGATTTCCAAGGTGGGCGACCGCGCCTCTGGAGGGAGCTTATTGCACAGTCCGGACACCCCGACACTGGAATACGCTCCCTGCAGACGTGGTGCAACCGCCTACCCAGCAGACTGGATGGTCAGCTCGCTGGGGTCACCTCACCCCACGTGTCTTTTGGGGCTGGACCCAATGAACTTCCAAGGTTCTTTCCAGCCCCTTTCAATCTATGAATCTAGGGACAGGGAAACTGAGGCAGGGAGCAGGGGGCACACGCGACAGGACCAAGAGGCGCCTGCAGGGCTCTGGGGGCTGCCCCACGCCGATCCGCTGCACTGGGAGATGGGGCTGGGATATCCTCTTGCAACCGACCCCACTCCAGGGGGTCTGTTGTGAGGGTAAACTGAGGCATAGATGTTTTCAGGATTAGTCCCTCTGAGGAGGGCAGTGTGTGGGGGTACGGGTATAGGGACAGGTGCACATTGTGTAACGGGTTTTTAGTGTGCTTTGACCTGCCAAGCGAAACACAAGGGCCACTTGGAAGTGTTGGAGGTGGAGTAATAGAGATAGCTATATAGATATGTTTTGGGTTTTTTTGCAAAAAGAAAGAAAGAAAGACCTGAGGCGCGCACAGGAAGGCCACGCAGCACGTCTGGGACAGGACCAGGGTAGACCCACGTGTCCCGAGCTCGGCTCGCTGCCGTCCAGGGGCAGGGAGTGGGAGCAGCCAGCTGGGACAGACCTGGCAGTGACATGTGAACACGTGTGCACACACACGCATAGAGACACGTGTGTGCTCAGATGCATGCACATGTGTGCATACTGTTATGCACATACAGACACGCTCACACACACACATGTGCATGCTCCATCACACAGACATGCATACATATGCTCAGTTTCGTACATACACACATGCACGCTCCATCTCACACAGAGGCACACATGCGTAGACACACACAGACACATACACACATGCTCAGCTATGCACATATACACGTGCACACTCATCCACACAGATACCCAGATACCCGCAGACATGCTGAGTCATGCACACACAAGCACATTGCATCACACCCGCATAAACACAAGCGTTCACATCCCATGTACACATACTCACGTGCATACACACATACATATGCTCACAGACACGCACGTGTGCCCACAGTTGCACACACACACATCTGCATGCTCCATCTCTCACACACAGACACGCTCACAGAGATGCACATGTGTGCTCAGTCATGTGTACACACACATACATTCACACAGTTGCACATGCACAGTCACCCAGTAACATGCAAGTGCTCACAGTGCTTGTGCAGTCTCACACATGCACACACACGCTCAGACCCCCCATCCCCCGCCCTCCCTGTGCCGGGGCTCCTCCGTGCCCCCGGGGGAGCATGTGGGGGGCTCTGCGTTCCCTCTGCCTGTGGCTTGCCTTCTTGGGGGAAGCCACAGTGCACTGGCAGGCGCCCATGGCGCAGACCCAGCTGTTGTTGTTGCCCGCATGACACTGGGCAGAGCCCTCCTGACTGTGGTGCAGGCAGGGTCTGGTGGGCTGTAAATGCATGTGGAAGCACGTGGGGCCAGGTCGCCCCTTCCTGCTGGCAGGAGGGCGCGGGGGCCGTGGCACGGTGTGGGGAGTTCATGGCTTCGGCGTGAATAGAGGCTGCCAGCAGCACAGGCCTACGTGTATGCATGCACAAGCATACATGCATGTGAATGCCTACATGTGTGCACACGCATGCCTGTGCACATACAAGAGCACATGCACATGTGTACACACACATGTGCATGCATCTGCACAGACAGGAACACGTACATTCACACATGTACTTGCTCATGTGTGTGCATACGCATGCATGCACATGCAGAAGAACACATACACACACATGCATGCATGCTCACACAAACGTTTGTACATACACACAAGCTTGATTATGTATGCACACATGCATGCACACAAGAGCACATGCACATACCCATACACATGCTCACATGTCCACATGCACACACACAGGAATGCAAGCACATTCACATGCACACACATATACATGCATGGACACGTACAGGAACAGGAGTGCACACATCCACATGCACTCACACAGGAATGCGAGTGCATACACATGCACACGCATACGCACGCACGTACAGGAATGCGAGTGCGTACACATGCACACACATCCACACGCACTCACACACAGGAATGCGAGTGTATACACATGCACACATATCCACACACATGCACATGTACAGGAACGTGAGTGCGTACACATGCACACACATCCACATGCACTCACACATAGGAACGCGAGCGCATCCACATGCACACACATCCACATGCACACATGTACAGGAACATGAGTGCATACACACGGGCACCATTCAGATGCATGCACATACATAGGAACACAAGCACATACAGATACACACATCTCTACATGCATGCACTCATATAGGGATGCATGTGCACACACGTGTGCACATGCATGCACACAAGAATGCACGCACCCAGATGCATGGCCCTGCACACGCATATGCATGCAAGCACATGCGTGCACGCTGGGTGGGAGAGGGCCCCCGTCCAGGAGCGAGCTGGCAGTGCCATGGGGGTGGAGTGGGGCGCCCCATGGCCGGCTGTTCAGGGGGTGATGGGGGAGAAAGGATCCCTTGACCCCTTCCCATGCTGTGCCCCCGCCCCACTTTGGGAACGGGCTGTGCTTCTCCCACCACACATGACCCCAGCCCCCATCCAGGCATGTGGGGCTCGGGCTCTGGGCCAGGTGCTGGCCCAAGAGACTCCATGCTCCCTACCCAGCGAGGCGGGCAGGGGTCCAGGACCCCCGGCACCGCCCCTGGCTTGCACCCGGACACTAGGGCCAGGGGTCCGACCTCTCTGTGCTGGGTCAAGGTCACAGCCAGGCTCCCAGGGGACGGCAATGGGGTCCCCCCTGCTGCGTTAGGGTCCGACTGTCTGCACCGGGGTCGCGTGGGGCATTTGGGCGCCTGGGGGGATGCGGTAATTGG